ATTTACAGTTGCCAGTTATTCTTTCTGTGGCTATGTGGGATACAGTATGGCTTAAAGTTAAGCAACGTTTCATACAGTGTTCACAGCTACAATGTCTATCTAATTTCAAACCGTAAGAGGTCAAACAAAATTCCTGCAAGAAAAAATCTGAAGAAACAAGTATTCTTCATTATTTAAGGCTTCGAACTTTCACTCCTAAAATTTCTATGCCTTGCCCACACCACACACAAATCTGCAGTCCGTCAAAATGGAAGGTATAGGGGCGCCTGGGTGACTCAGTCGTTCAGCGTCTGCCTTCGGCTCGGGTTGTGGTCCCGGGGTCCTGGGATGGAGCCCCGCATCGGGCTCCCTACTCGGCGGGAGGCCTACTTCTCCCTCTCCCACTCCCCATGCTTGTGTTCCCTCTCTCACTGTGTCTCTCTCTGTCAAATAAATAAATAAAATCTTAAAAAATATATATATATTGGAAGGTATAAGCATCAAGGTGCACCAAGGGTTAAGAATTCATCAAATCTTTAAAGTCTGTTATATCTGATTATGTAATATCGTTCCCTACCTGTAGCATCCTACCCTAGATCAGGAAGGCAATCTGGTATACCAAAAAAATACATCTTTCAGTTTTAACCACAGGTTCTAAAGGTAGAGAAATCTTTGTTGTAACAAAACAATGTGTCCCTGGCTGAGTTACTTAACGTCAGAGTTTTAGTTTCCATATCTCTTTAATGGAGAAAAAAAATTACTATGTTCCAGAATTGTAGGGAAAATTAAAGAAAATATACATAAAATGCCAAACACAGTAGGGAAAATTGTAGGGAAAATTAAAGAAATATACATAAAATGCCAAACACAGTAGCTGGCATATAGAATGACAAATAATAATTACTGTTTTGTTGTCATTGGCTATTTTTGAAATACAACTAAGCTAGAGAATGTGGAACTCAAACTTCCAAAGTCCTTATTTTGGAGGTCATAGAAAAAAAATGTTTTCCACACCCTGAAAAAAATATTCCTTTGAGTCTAACATCTTCATTTATTCAACAGTATTTATTTGGTGCTTTCAACATTTAAAGGCCCTGTCCTTAATGTCAGGGATACCTCCGAGAGGAAATTAGAAGTATCATCCCTTGCCCTCAAAAAACTTACATTTTAGAAGAAGCTAGACATTAAACTAGCAATTATATAGTTACTTAATTATAATTGTGATCAGTGTTACAAAGAAAACCTGCTAAAGGGGGAAATGACCTAACACGATCAGAATTTAAATTTCTATGCAAACATCCCACCTCCCACCAAGGGTTTTCAATCACTCCCTCTATAATTAAAACTAATCCAACTCTTTGTATAGACTTAATCCGTCTGGACTTTAAAACAACAAAATAGGGGCGCCTGGGTGGCTTAGTTAAGTGTCCAACTCCTCATTTCAGCTCAGGTCATGACCTCAGGGTCTTCAGATGGCCCAGCATTGGGCTCTGTGCTGGGTGTGAAGCCTACTTAAGGTTCTCTCTCTCTCCCTCTCCCTATGCCCCTCCTACCCCCATCTCTCTCTTAAAAAAGAAAAATTAAAACAGCAAAATAAGCAAATAACCTGACTTTGGCCGTTTTTATGCTCAGAACTGTACACTGAAACTATAGCCACTGTATAAAACCTACAAATTAATTTCAAGTATTCCACACAGTAAGTTATTAATGAAAGAGAAAGCAAAGATAATAATACAGGTAAGCACTTGTCAGCTCTCCGCCATGAACTCATTAGAAAACACATTTCCTGACAGATTATAAAACCAGTATTTTCATACGCATGCTATTATTCAAAACTCATTTTTTTCAGAAAGTTTTTATTAAAACAAAATAAATATGTACACATATTTATTACTGAAAAAGAAGTTATTTCTGTGATTTTTAAGATCAGAGCAATTCTAACTTTCTTACTAAGGGAGAATTCTTTTTTGCTCAGGTACCTTTTAAAATATGCCACCTTAATTTTTTTTTTTTAATCTGGTAACATCCGCTTTAAAGACAAGTTCAAGATTCCTATCCTCAGAAGTTAGCACACTGTTGTAGATTAGTGCCATTAAACCCCCAAGTGAATAGTAAAGGGGAAAACTGAGAGATCAACTCTCCCATCAAAATGAAACTAAGTTTATTCTATAAAATAGAATCTACCTCAATGTTTGTGTTAGATTCAAACAACATTCACCCAGAAATTAATGCAACAATTAACCCAGAACAATGACTGTCAATTCCCCAAAAGTGGCCTCTTTACCTTCACCTATATTTAGGTTCATAACGCAAACTAGTCCAGGATTCCTGCTGCCAATTACAATGAATGGAAGAAATATATTTAAATCAAATAGCACCATCTAGCAGAACCCTCACCACTTTGCTTTCAAGAGTAGATATTACTTGGTGTTCAGTTTGGTAGACTGGACAGCAAAAGTGGCAGTTATTTGTTTTCATGACAGAATCACAGAATTAGGCTAGAAAGCACCACAGACACATCACATTCTCATTATTATCTCAGATAATTACAAAAAAAAATTTTTTTTTTTTTACAAAGTTATCAGGATACAGATTAGATTCAACCATTCCTGGGAGTCTAACTAAAATCCAAGATTACTTTGATTCTCAAATTCAACCGCTCCCAAATGTCTCAATACATTTCAATTCCTTCACTCTCAGTAATATGAAATCCCAATACTCTGTAATCATTAAAACATCCTGTTTTTAATCTTATCAGATATATTACAACCAAATGATTAATGCACAAAAATTGGGCTGTTATTTCAAAACTTCAGTTCTAGTAACTTGTTTCTTAACCAGGCTATATTACTGTCTTTTGTATATTTCACAGCACATCAACTAGTTCCTAAATGTAGCTCCTCAGAAAATACCTCTGGAAAAAAACAAAACCAAATCAGCATCTCTCCGTTAAATTTTTTTGTTTGTTTTGCTACATCAAGGCCTGCCACCCCTAAATCTTATGGGAATTGTGTGTTGCTGCCAACACGAAGATTAGGAAATGTTCCCATCCCTAGGGCACAAGAAACTTTCAGAAGACTACCAACTGCCTAAAGGAAGGAGGTAAACTCGGTCTTCTGAGTATTTGGTTTTTATTTACGAAGCTATTTCCAAGCGCAAGGTAACCAAAGTAGCTCTTCGGAGATGCTCTCAGACTCTCCCCCAGTCTGAACCCCCTCGGAAAGGCAGAGCGCGTTCAATGACAAGGATAAGCCTCACCCTCAGAGAGGAGGTGGTTACTGGGAATCACCGATTTGCTGCACAGAAAAGAGGGGTTCTTCCCCAGTGGTCACAGTCACTATCCGCTCTCATTTTTAGTAACGACCAAATCACCGTTACAAGTACGTAAGAATAGCAGCGAACAGCCCTGCTTCGCAGTGTGCCGTGACGGTAGCATCCCGGGCCGGGAGGGGCTCTCTTCTCCCCCGCCTCCTCTGGGCTCCCACCGGAGTCAACACCTGTATCTCCCCACCTCAACGTTTCTCCCCTTCCGGCAAATCCCTTTTCGGACCACTGCTCCCCGCGCACCCCAGACGACCTTCCTCCCTCCGGCCGCTGAGCTCACACAACTCCCACTCCGCGCGTCCCACGACCACCGCCCCGCGGGGGTCGCCCGGCCCGCCGCCGGGGCAGCCGCGGCCTCCCGACGTTTGGGAGGCAGTAAGTCTCCAAAAAAAGTTCTCCAGCCGCCGCCGCGGAGTTGGGTCTGCCGGGGAGGCAGAAACGCCAGCCTGCTCCAGCAGATCCCGCTTCTCGCCTGCACACTTTTCCTCCCCGGGAACTCGGCCCTTCTTAGGCTCCCAAACTTCAGCGGCGCCCCTGGCGCCGACCACCCCTGACCCGCGAGGCACGGGGCACCACGAACGGCGCGTCGCTTCGCCGGCGGTAGAAAGCCCCGACGCCCCCCCGGCCCACGCCCGCACACGCCCTCCGCGCCCCGCGCGCGTCTCCGCGCCCCGCGGGGCCCCGCTCGGCCGCTCCGCTCCCGGCTTCCGCCCGCCGCGCGCCCGGCACCGCCGCCCTCGCCTCGCCGGGCGATCCCGGCCCCAACCCCAGGCGCCGGAGCGCCGGCCGCGGCGCCCCACGCACTGCCTGCCCCGACCCCAGCCCGCCCCTCCAAACACCCATGGTCCCACCGCGAGCCCTCCTTCACGCAGCTGCCCCCTTCCGCCCCGCCCGCGACCCTCGGCAGCGCTCCGGGTCCCCGCAGCCCCGGACCCCAGCTCTAAAGTTACTTTGCGAGGAGGTGAACCCGCGGGTTATTTCCCCCAATCACCCAAACAAGTTTCCATCCTTGGCACCAGCACCGCCACCGCCCCCCAGCACACGCGCTCCCTCCCGCCGGCAGCCCCCCAAGGCCGCCCGCCCCGCGAGAGCACCTCCTGGGAAACAGCCGCTCCCCGCACCGCACGCCCCCACCTTGTGTACCCCTCCCCCTGCCAGCCCACCCCCGGCTCTCCCCGGGCGGAGAGTGTCTGGGTCTGCGTGTCTCCGAGAGAGTGTGCGAGTGCGTGCGTGTGTGTGCGCGCGTGTGAAGGCGGAGGTGGGTGAGAAGCGGAGACACTTACTTCTCCCGGGCCTGGCTGTCGGACGGGACGGCGCTGCTGTTACTCTTGCCTTTGCCGTACATGCTTGTGCCGAGAGCAGCTCCCACTGTCACGCACCTGTCAACCCATCACAGCCTCCCCGGGAACAGCCCCGTCCCCATGGCGACCCACGCAGCCACCCCCACTATTGGCCGCCCCACGCCAAAGCTCCGCCCCCTTCGCCCAGGCAACGCGCGAGACTGACAGGCCTCCCCCTCCCTCCGGCCTTCCGAAGCGCGCGGTGGCGGCTACAGTCTAAGCGGCAGTCTCCTCCCTCCTTCCCTCCCTCCCGGGTTCCCTCCCTCCTTCCCTCTCCGTTCTCCTCCCTCCTCCCGCTCTCTTTCCCCCCTCCCCCCTCCGAACCCCGGCGCAAGGGGGGAATTAGAAACTGCTCTAGAAGGATTTTAAACAACTGGCTGTTCTCTCCGCCGCCGCCCCTCCCCCCGCGCCGCCCGCGCTCGGCTCCTCACTGGAGAGAAGGCGCCGGGAGGAGGGGAAAGTGCGGCCTGGAGTCGCTGGTAGGAGCCGGCGGAGCTGGAGCTGTGGAGGCCCCAGACTTCGGGGCGCCCGCCGAGTACACAGACAGACCTACGGCCCCAGCCTTCGTGGGAGCCCCCACCAGCCCCCTTTCCGGCTCCTCTCCTGTCTGTGACCCCGCGCCAGTACCCTGAATTGATCTCTGCAGCTCTCAGCCCTACTCCCTGGGGTGTCGCCCCCGGCCCCCCGCCCTGCTCCCAGAGGAATGGCTGGTGAGGGACAAACGCGCTGTTCCCTCGACCTTCTGTCTGAGCGACCCAGAGCGACTCGCCTTTCCTCCTGGGGAGGGACTGTGCCTCCGGCCCTCGGCGCCGCCGGGGTGGCGTCGCCTCGCCCCTAGGGCCGCGCCCTGCTTCCCAGGGGAACACCCTGCCTCGGGCCTGCCTCCCCTCTTTAGAGGTGAGCCTCCTCCCAAAGATGGCCCGTGAATCCTGGGGCCTCACTGGCCCCCTACCCTGGCCCCTGTACGCCTGGAGCCCCGTGGCCCACCGCGCAACAGCTCCCTTGCCAGAAATGCTGCAGAAAAGGGCTGCAGACATCCCCCTGGCCTGGTTTTCCAGCCTTGGTCGGTGATGCCTACTCTTCCTGACATTGAAGTGGAAAGGGCCACATAAGGCCTTAAAGACATCCCTGTCCTTGTCCATCAGAGTAGGCCCCAACACTCCTCCAAGGTGTGCAAAGTTGTGCCAGAGCTGAAAGGCTGCCTAAGAATATTTCTGGATCAAAGCCCCTAATCCCATTTCAGTAAATGTGCAGAAAGTTTCTGAGACACAATCTGGTTCCCGATAGAACTCCATCCTTTATCTTGTGGAGATCCTTGGATGCAAAATCAGAGTGCAAATGGGGTTAGAAAGAAGACATGGGCATCAAATAAGGAGTGACAGAGGAAGAGGGGTGCAGGTGGGGGTCGGACTGGGGGAAACATCAGGAAAGGATGAATAGATATGGAACAGCTATAGGAGGAGAGAGAAAATAGGATTTAAATTGGGAAAGCCACCTTTCTATTTCTCACACAGAGCTTTAAGCTTTTAGTAGTAGGACCCTAAAAATGCACATGGAGCTACAGAGATAAATGGAATGGAAAGAAATGGGTTTATATGGCCATTGACAGCAAATGATAGGAATGAAACATCAACAGAAGGTTAAGGAAGGGCAGTTAGTAAGAAAGAGAGACTGAGAAAAGGGGTTGGCCACCAAACATAAATCAAAAACTGGGAAAAAATGAAGAGGGACCTGCTATTCTAGTGTTAGATAATTTTTTTTTTTAATTGTCAAGGTAAAGTGTAAAAAGATGGAAAAGAATAAAAGAAATAGGATTAAATGAAGAAAACAATATGATAGCAAAAGAAAATGGCAAAAACAATAGAGGACTGACATTATGATAGAAAGATTTAAGAAAAATAAAAGTGCTTTTATTAAAAGGACAAAAATTCATCCCATAGAAGTGAGGATGAAGAAAATGAAAAAAAAAAATCACATAGGCTTAAGCTGATTAATTTCCAAGAGAAGTAATTTGCCATTTCTAATTCAAAATGCCTCTTTCTGTTTACAATGAACCATAGTGATTTGGTGGTGGAGACATGGCATTCATGGACTCAGAAGAAGCAGAAGGAGTGATGCTGAGCAAGTAAGTCTCTCTTTTGATGAACTTTAGCTCAAAATGCTCAGATATGTATAAGGCTGCCACTGTTTACAGACTCTACCTTCAGAGTTAGCATATGTAATTTGTTGTTCAATTATCAGCTTCCATTGGCTTTAACCCAGAAAATTATCGGCATCTCAAGACTCCACGACCCATAGAACACTCCCTATAAGTGACTGCTTAGACAATGCAGTCAAGGAGAGAGCTATGGCAGCTGCTAATCCATGCTCCTGCCCACACTTGGACTAAAGTAAATTTTCCATTAAAGACCAAGAGTGGGCTTTGTACTGTTATCTAAAAACAAATTTGTTATTATCCTTGCACTGGTGTTGGGATTCTCTATGGTTCTTAGTCATGGCACATTAGAATTACCCTAGGAGGATTTATTTTTTGTTGGCTTTTGTTTTAAATACAAGATCTGGGACCCCACCCCAAACTAACTAACTCAGAAATTTTGTGGATGGATGCAGGCATCTGTATTTTTTGTAAGCCCCAAGTGATTCTTATATGTTACTAGGGCCGCTTAACTCTGCTCTTCAGTATCCATTTTTTTTTAAAGATTTTTTATTTATTTATTTGTGGGGGTGCGGGAAGAGAGAGAGAGCACGAGCAGGGGTAGGAACAGAGGGAAAGGGAAAAACAGACTCTTCTCTGAGCAAGGAGCCAGATGTGGGGCTCGATCCCAAGACCCCAAGATCATGACCTGAGCCAAAAGCAAATGCTTAACCAACTGAGCCACCCAGGCGCCCCTTCAGTATCCATTTAAAGACAGCCAATGGGGGCGTCTGGGTGGCTCAGTCATTAAGCGTCTGCCTTCGGCTCAGGTCATGATCCCAAGGTCCTGGGATCGAGCCCCGCATTGGGCTCCCTGCTCAGCGGGAAGCCTGCTTCTCCCTCTCCCACTCCCCCTGCTTGTGTTCCCTCTCTCGCTGTGTCTCTCTCTGTCAAATAAATAAATAAAATCTTTAAAAAAAATAAAGACAGCCAATGGACACCATCAGATCTCAGAGCAAGATTTTTAGGTTGTGATTATATATAGCAAATGACCCTCCCCATGCAAGGCATTAAGAGATCTTTACAGAGGACTTTACTTTCTACCCACTGAGCCAACAAATTTGTTAATAGGATGAAAATGTATGACCACATGTGTTCTTATAGTACAAGACCACAAATAGCTATGGTTTAATTTACTATTTCCTAAAGAGAAAGGAAAACAAAGAGAAAACAAGAGAAGCTATTTCCTGTCTACTGCTGCCATTTATTCATTTGATTAGTTTTTACTCATATATTACATGGAAGAGTCCTTTGAGTTATGGCATCATTTCTGATATTTAAAAAATAAATAATAGATCTGCACAGTAGGGTATGGAATTCAGAACAATTTGGTCTTAGTATCTAGAAGGAATAAAATGCTAAAAGGTCTTAGTTCAGAACTTGTCAAGTTAATGTCAGAGTTAACTTCACAAGAGCGTTATTATCCAACAAATATACTAAGTGAAAACATGACTATTCCTATACATGGTAACCTTAAAGCTTCAGTGGTAGTCAAATCAATTATCATTAAAACATCTCAGCAGCTATCTGAACAATCTCTGTTTTATTTTCCTCTTAATGTTTACACATGTAAGTAAAATGCTTCTTTGCCCTTGTTCAAATTATTTTGAGTACAAAGAGTGTTCTTTGCATCAGCAACTGTATCTCATGGGGCCAATATTGTAATTAATGAGATTTGAAACACATATTCACAGCCAAATTTGAGATCCCAGACACAGAATTGAAGATCCATTGTTTTGTTTGTTTTCATTTTTAAGAAAGCGGAAGATAGGAGATTTAAATCTTCTTGTAAAGAACCACAGTATATTTTTTTAGAAGTTACTGTTTCGTTTTGCTTTTTAACCTCACACATAAGGCTGATTAATTTTGGGAGGCTGGATTTAGGGTAGGGGAATGCTGACTAGCCACCAGAATGAAACATTTGCATTTGAAGTTGATTTATTTTCCTTTTTACCTTATTCTTTCAGATATAGAACACCACAATTACTCACTCATTATGTCTTTCTCCCCTGCCCTGGTTTTGTTTGTATATATATGCACAATTTTGTCTTTTTGGAACCTGCATCTTATTCTTAGAAAAAGTCTTTATCAATTTAAAACAGGCAGTTTGTTATACCACCCTGCTAAAGCTCTAGATTGACTATACATTTCTTTGATCTTAATTTTTTCTGTAAAACTTTAATAACATCCATATTCTTATAGTGCATGGAACTTCAGAAAAGATTTCCCTTTGCTATATAGAACAAAGAAACTACTTCTTTACATTTAAATAGAAACTAATGGTGAATTTAATTATTTACATCACATACAATACTTAGCATGTTAACTTTAAAAAGAAAAACATTTACGGGCACTTGGCTGGCTCATATCAGTGGAGCAGGAGACTCTTGATCTCAGGGTTGTGAGTTCTAGCCCCACACTGGGTGTAAGGATTCCTTGAAAATAAAATCTTTAAAAAAAAAAAGAAAGAAAGAAAAACATTTAGAGTAGAAAATACTTATTTAGAAAAAATAAAATGAACTATTTAAACATTAAAATTCATTAAAAGACATTTTCTTGTTTGGGGATAATTTTTACAAAGGACAAAATTTTTCTATTATTTGTTTGTTTCATAAACTAGTTCATAAAAAAAGTCCTTACTTACATTCATACCACTTTTCATTTCAAATCATTTAACAGATACCCATTTATTAATACTCAGTATATCCCTATTAATTAGATTTTCCTAACCAGCTTTTTTAACTGGGTAAACTGAGTCCTAGAAAGATTTATTAGCATGATCTGATCCATAAAGAAAACAGAAATAGTTCCAGGATGAGAACTCTGTGTTCCTGGCTGACAATCCTGTTCTCAGACCACGAAGCCACACCTCTTTCTCTCAAAAGTGACTATTCCACAGAGGAATGTGAGCAAGCTCTGAGATGTTTGTCACTCAAACTACCATATGAAACTTCACTCCTGGGCAGAAGAGACTAGCATGCTTAGATTCACAAACTGCTTACATGCCATGTACCAAAGTAATTCAATGAACACAGTCATTACAACAGTAATACTATGCAATGTGGTCTCTTATACCAGAATAATAAATGAAATGGGGCCTCAAATTAACATTATTTGACACTGTTATTGGTTTAACATCAGTTAATTTGAGGCAATGAGTGTTTTCTTAACCTATTGCCCTCGATTTTTAAAGTCCCACCTTAGCTATTCATAAACATTTACCAATGGGTTAGGAGAGACAGTGAACAAAACTACTGGTTGTAAACAGTTCCATCTCTCTAGAGTGCCTAGTCCTTTTTAGCACCATCAAGATTTGAAATTTAGTAGCTTGGAAAAAAAATAAAATAATCCTGTTATAAAAAAATCATACATAAGCTGAAGATGATGAAAAGTGAAAAAAGTAGGGCTACCATGTATTGCAATTTCACACACTTTAGCACATTTTGCAAAACAAATTCCAAGTGTTGCAATATTCACTGGCTGGATTTTTGTCATTAAATGTTGAAAGTTATGTAATAGGAAGTGTGCCAAAGAGTGTTCTTTATTCAGAAGTATTACTATATTTTTTTAGTGCATTCCTAAATCTTCACAATGGTTTTTCACCTCCTAAGGTTATGCCAATATGATGTCTTTGCACTGTTGGATTTGAAAAAAGCCCCAGTCTCAAGAAGGAGGCTGTGCAACATTCCATGCAGTGTCATTTCCTTCTGTTCAGAATGGAAACATGGGGGGGTGGAAACTACTACATTTGTTTTTCATAATTTTCTAACATAATTGGGTCCTCTCAATGAAGTATGGCAAAAAAGGAAGTTGACAAATTATGCCACTATTGTGTTTTATTTATCTTCATATAGTTTAAGTATAAGGGGTCAGGATACATTTTTAACTTCTTTAGCTGTATTAAAAATGTATTTCAGGTATTTATTTATCTTATAAGATAAATATGAGAAATATACTTAAAAATATATTTAAGGTGCTGAATATAGTCATTGCCAACAGTAAGCTATATGATAGAAACAATCTTACCAAGGTCATGTATACTTGCCAAAGATATAGAGGGTACGTCAAACATTTTATTTAGGGGTACCCAAACAGTCTTTGAAACCAGTTGGGGCTCCATCCTATATATGGTAGTACCTGAAGATTTGTAAGTATTCTGTGGTGGTGGGACACCTGGGTGGCTCAGTTGGTTAAGCGTCTGCCTTCAGCTCGGGTCACGATCCTAGGGTCCTGGGATCGAGTCCCATATCAGGCTCCTTGATCAATGGGGAGCCTGTTTCTCCCTCTGCCTGCTGCTCTCCCTGCTTGTGCTCCCTCTGACAAATAAATAAAGAATCTTAAAAAAAAAAAAAAAGTATTCTGTGGTGGTAATTGCTCCCTGCTAGCATTATCGTCATTAGATTATACATGTACAAACCAGATTCGTCAGACAAATAATTCTATAATCTCATTATCATCAGCTTTCCAAACTCTTCAGGTCCTTTTCCTTGGACCTAAATTCTTGAGGCAGAAGATTTTAAAAGGATTCCCTGCCACATGGTGCTGAACTATTGACTACTTCATGACAAATCTCCACTAGCCTCACCCAGCTTCTAAGACCCAAGTTGTCTATGGTATTGGGGGCAAGTGTTAAGAAAGTTAAGAAATAATACATTTTTGGGGCAGCTGGGTGGCTCAGATGGTTAAGCGTCTGCCTTCGGCTCAGGTCATGATCCCGGGGTCCTGGGATCGAGCCCCACATCGGGCTCCCTGATCCTTGGGAGCCTGCTTCTCCCTCTGCCTCTCTCTCTCTCTCTCTGTCTCTCATGAATAAATAAATAAAATCTTTAAAAAAAAAAAAGAAATAATACATTTTTGTGTTATGATCTGCTAGTACTGCTCTATGCTTACCTCCTACCCTATCCTCCCTCTAACTTTCATGGGATTTTTTG